GTAGGGATGAATACTGTCCCATGTCTCCCAGTCATACTCACTCTTCTGTAAATGTCTATTCATGTTCTTTGGCCATATTCTTCTTATACATCATACTCTATGAGTACCCTATACAAACCTATCACATTTCATCATATTTATGTCAAGTATGCCCTTTCAATATGTGTTTAGATCTTGTTTTTAAAATGGCCACAAAACTTTTAAATTATTTTGGTTTTAAAATTTTATAGTCAAATTTATTGATCTTATCCTTTGTGAGTTTTGTTAGGTTTGATGGAGCAATTGAGTTGATACCCTTCCCCCTGGAACTGGCTTTTCAGGTCCATTTCACTATGGACATTCCCTTTGCTGAAAACCACTTTTCACTTGCGGTGACCACATTCCATTCTCTCCCTCCGGGTATGCATGAAGAAGTCTCTGCCCAGAAAAATCCTACCAATAGTCCTTTAAAAGCCGCTGACTCCCCTCACTGGGTGTAGGAGCCATCCAGGGTCAGCCACCTGGTGTGCGGATGATCAAATAAATTCTTAATCCCTCACCACTCTGGCCTCCTGCGTTCCTCCTTTGGCGACTTAGCAAGTTTCTTCTATTATTTCCTAAAGCTTAGAAAACTATTCCCCTTCAGAGGCTTGATAAATATTAATTCTCTAGTTTTTTTAAAATTTGCTTTTTTATATTTAACTCTTCAATCCAGCTGCCACTTATTTTAGTTTATTACAGGAGATGAGAGTATAAATGCTTTGAGCTGTCACAACATCATTTACTGAACAATCCTTTCTACTCCCATTCACTTGCAACACATGCTTTATACTAGACTGAATTCTCATATATAACCGTCTCTTTAGGGAGTTTACTAGAATATCATGTCATAACGTATACCCGTGGTACCAATGTTTTCATTATTCTAGTTTTGTATGTTTAATATATAATAGCATTAATTCCTCATTAATCTTCCTTCGCAGAATTTTCTTTGAAAATCACCCTTCTTTAGCTTTCAGCTCTAATTATTGCTGTCTTACCGCAGAGATATGAATTTTTTGAGGGCAGAATTGGTTTATTTCATTAGAATAGATTACTAGGAATAATATTACTGGGTCAAGGGGTATGAACATTTTCCTCACTTTTTTAACGCTTATTTCCAAAGTTTTCAAAAAGAATGTGCCAATTTCATTATAATCTGTCAGTACCTGGATATTTTGAGGTAAATGTTTCTTTTTTTTTTAATTGTTAGGGGGAAATATACCACGTTTTAATTTATATACCTCTGCTTACTAGTCATGATAAACATATATTTGACATATAGTAGGTTCTTAATCAACTCATGTTGAATGAATAAAATGCATGTATGAATGTACAGATATATTTGGGAACGGAGAAACATTGTGGTTATAACAGACAAATGCTGGGCTAGATGTAAGTTTGTAGACTAAATGCCTGTAGTCCATCTGCAGAGAGGGTCTAAAGGTGTCAAGAACCCCCTGAATTGGGGCAATCCCTAGAAACTCTCTAATTTTTATTTTTACCACAGGTGTGTCTGTTTCAAAGTAGGATCAGCTGAAAGCTGTCTGGAATAGTTATAATAATGGTGTGTGGGTATGCCCACATCTACACATAGCCCAGAAGCAGCCATGATTGGCTTAAGATAGTGTTCTTCTTTTGGCAGCACAACAGTGGTAAGAAGTATCAGGTATCTGGATATTCCACTGGAAAATGACCCAGACCCTAGCAGGCCTGAAGCAATGAATTTAAATGCATAAGCTCCTCACTATACCACTTTTGTGTATTTTTATTTTTGTTCTAGAATCATAATGCCTAGTACTGTGCTTAATTGTGCAGTCCCAATAAAATGCTGGATCTCTCTTGCTTATGTTTTCTGAATTCAGCATTGATGAATCAACTTCTGATGTAGCATTAAGAAGGTATAGTCATAGATTAAAAGCATTACAATTTTTTAAAAATAAAATACATAACCTCCTCCAAGTGCCACATTCAAACTAGATTTGACTCATAGGACCAGGCATTTTCCATGAAACCACACTGTTCTTCTCAAATTCACTAAGCAGAAGAAGGCATATAAGTCCTTGGTTCAGGGAAAGTGGTCCTTTCCCCTTTATCTGGAGCTTCAAGGAGATAAGGCCTTTTTTTTCCTCTTTGGGATTGCTGAATTTTTTTAACCAGTTAACTACCATGCATCCAAAATGGAAACCATCCCCACATGCCACGATATTTTGAATTTAATTTAAAAAATCAATTTGCAATGAAGATTATAAAAATAAATATATTACTTACAATTCGGGTGTTCTTGAATACATTCAGCTAAAAAGTCTCACGAAAAATTATTTTAAAGTTGGTCAGGACTGCCACTTAGGGAAAACATTTTTTTAAAAATATGTTTTTATTGATTTCAGAGAGGGAGAGGGAGAGATAGAAACATCAGTGATGAGAGAGAATCACTGATCTGCTGCCTCCTGGCATGCCCTACACTGAAGATCAAGCCCACAACCCGGGCAGGAATTGAACCATAACCTCCCAGTTCATAGATTGGTGCTCAACCACTGAGCCACGCCGGCCAGGCAACATTTTTTTTTTATAGACACGCGCGGCATGTGGGGAAGGTCTGCCTCTTGCATCTACAGACACTTATGGCATACAATGGATTAATAGAGCAAAAACTAACAAAAGGCAGGTTGTTCCTCTTTGTTTTTAAGGCCATGCAAAACTTATTGCTAAACACTGGTTGTCTTTCCTCCATCACCTCGTAGATTTTAGTAGTAAACTTTCTCAAGGACTTCCATGGTTATGAAATATGTCGATTTGATGAAAAGAATCCCATGTTATTACCTTAACCTGCATATGTTGAAATTGTGTTCAAGGTTTTATTCTGAAAAAAAACAGAGTGCTGTTTTCTCCAGACTCAAGGACAATGGAGAATATAAAGGCCATGACCGATAGTATGAACAACTGGTGTGTGGATGATACATTAGCACGTTGATTCAGAGTTTTAAAAATCTTTCTTCTCCAACATGTATTAAACTAGAGGCCCGGTGCACAAAAATCTGTGCACTTGGGGGGGTCCCTCAGCCCGGCCTGTGCCCTCTCACAGTCTGGGACCCCTCAGGAAATGACCACCTGCTGGCTTAAGCCCGCTCTCTGGGGTATTGGGCCTAAGCTGGCAGGCAGACATCCCTCTGGCAGCCTGGGAGCCCTCGGGGGATGTCCACTTGCCAGCGGGGAGCAGGCCTAAGCTGCAGTTGGACATCCTTAGCGCTGCTGAGGAGGTGGGAGAGGCTCCCACCACCACCGCTGTACTGGCAGCCATCAGCCTGGCTTGTGGCTGAGCAGAGCTCCCCCTGTGGGAGCGCACTGACCACAGGGGGGAGCTCCTGCATTGAGCATCTGCCCCCTGGTGGTCAGTGTGTGTCATAGTGACCAGTCATTCCCAGTCGTTCTGCTGTTAGGGTCAATTTGCATATTACCCTTTTATTATATAGGAGTGCCTGACCAGCCTGGGTGAGGGGCTGATGGCTGTTTGCAGGCTGGCCACAGCCCCTTCAGGGTGGGGGTTCCTGTTGGGGTGCCTGGCCAGCCTGGGTGAGGGGCTGAGGGCCGTTTTCAGGCTGGCTAAGCCCCCCAGCGGGACCCTCACCCCATGAGAGTGTGGCCATCCTGGGTGAGGGGCTGATGGCTGTTTGCAGGCTGGCCACAGCCCCCAGCCACCCAAGCTCCCAGTGGAGGCTGGCTGGAAGCAGGTATCTGGGATTTATTTGTCTTCTATAATTGAAACTTTGTTGCCTTTTGTGGAGGCCACAGCCGGCTCAGAGCTGGCAGGAAGCTTGGCTT